CCCACCCTAGGGAGTGCTTCCAGAGGTTGCTGCCACCCCCTGGTCAGGCAGCTGCCTGGACACGGATCTTAGGACCAAGCATGCAGAAAAGGGGACATGGGTTGGGAACAAGGCATGCGGGTCATGGGTCCTGCTGACCCGCTCCCCACCCTGAACCTCCGAGGGGCAACCCTCCCCCATCAGCTGAAGAAACTGAGGCTCAGAGGGTGTCCGGAGTAGCCCGACCCTGGACTTTGACAGTGGCCGATGGCAGCGGACAGGCAGACAGGATCGGCCTCAGGGCCAGGAGTCTTGGTCATTTGCTCACCAGCTGGTTCCCCAAGCACATTCCCCACCCTCTCTGCACCACAAGTTCCGCATCTGTAAAGTGGGTGACAAAGATGGCTTGCCCAGCCTGTTCCAAGGCGCAGGGAAACGCTCGGCACACGGTGGGGCCCCTTCTCCCGCACGCCTTCTGTGTCGGCCCTCTTTCCAGAGAGACCCCAGAACCAAGAAGGGGACCCTGGCACGTGGGACCGGCTGCATAATTGGCGGGGTCCATGGCAGAACAGAAACACAGGCCCTTTGTTAGAGTTAGTAAGAACTACGCGGCAGCAACGGCAGAGCACAGAGCCGGAGGGAGCGGACAGTGCCCCAGGGACAGATGCCCATCGAGGCACCCTGTGGGGCAGCCCGGGGATATGTCGAGCTGAGACCTGGGGCCAGGAGGCTGAGGCCCGGCAGACCCTGGGCCCCTGAGGGCCAAAGATCATCGTGGCCCATGCCTGGCATCTGAGAGGCCGACAGCAGACAGGGAGGTGCCCACCTTCAGGGGTGGGGGTGGGGAGTGGGGGAAGACGCCAGCCTGGGGTCGCCCAGGAGTCTGCAGCTGGGTAGGGCACCCGGGTTGGCAGCCGTGGGATCAGGAGCCCAGGAGGGAGGCCTCAGCTGGACCAGGTGGCCTGTGGGCGTGGACGAGATGCCCAGGTGGGGCAGGCAGCTTGAAGGGCGGGGGGGGGGGGGGAGAGAAAGTGATCAGCGTGACTGCATTTTCAGTCCGGGAGCAAGGAGAGGGATTGGGCTGGCTTGGGGGGGGGGGGGGGGGGGCTCAGGCCCCAGCCCCCAGGGCGGGGAGGGATAGGCAGCAGAGGGAATGGAGGAGGGACCGCGGGCCGGGGAGGAGCTGGGACAGAGCCTGGCTTCCCTGCCGCAGCCTGCTGCCCGCACCTGCGTGGGGAAGCTCCTTGCGCCGTCACACGAGCTATTCTCAGCCTCTCTCCTTTTATGGCTCCGGAAGTGAGCGGTGGAGGCTGGCGCACTGTGCTCGCTCTGAGATGGAAATGGAAACACAGAGAACAGAAGGACAGCAGCCACCACCCCCTCCCTGGCACGGGCACCCTCAACACCCAGCTCCGGGGGCGTCCAGCCAAGCCAGCTGGCAGAGAACCACTCATCCTGGCTGAGGCCAGCAGCCCTTGGGGTTCCTGCTGCACGATCTGGGCCTGCCTAGGCGTCCAGGGAGGCGGTGGCGGCCGCATGCAGCCTGGCTGGAGCCCAGTGGGGTGGAGAGGAGGGGGCGGCCGCCCAGCTCCAGCCCCCCAGGCAAGCTGCCGAGCCCTCACACGGCCGGGGCCACCGGCGGACACTGGGACCGTGGCTCTCCCCTCATCCCTGACCCTTTAAAGAGCCCTCAAACCAGCCCATCGGCCTCCCCTGCACCCACATCACCCCGCTCACCCTCAGGCTGCCCCTACCTGGCAGGGCCCCTCTGGGCTGCTGGCACACTTGGGGTATGGGGGCACCTCTGGCCGGACGGAGACTCTTCAGGGCAGGAAGCAGGGGTCTGTCCACTCCATGTGCCCAGAACAAGCTCAGGACCTGGCAGTCAGCGAGCAGGAGATCAGGAGGAACCCGAGCACACACACTCTGACACATACACACGCGCTCTCCAACTCTCACACTCACAACACACTCATAAACTGGCACACGCAGGAAGACGCCGTGCTCAGGGGCTCCAAGGGGGGCACGTAAGAGGGAGGACAAGGCTCACAGAAGACGCGGTTAACACCACACTGGGAGGCTGGGAAGCCTTCCTGGAGGTGGTGACCCTGGCTCAGAGGTAGACCCCACATAAGCCGTGCTGAGCTTCCATGCTTAAGTTTCAAAACTGGGCAGGCCTTTGTGAGCTAAACAAGGGGCGGTGGGCGGCAGGCTGGCTGGGGCATTCCTGTGGGGGGGGAGGG